ACGTGGACAGACCTCAATGAAAAGACTGGCAGCCTGTGAAGACCGATGACTAGGGAGCAGACAGAATGATATCTTCTGACACAGGTGACTCAGGGACCACATTGATTCCACTCACCTGTGGCACAACATGGGTGCATGCAGAACATCAGCCCTGAGCCAGCTGCCAGAGACAACCCACTGCCATGGGGGACTGGCACTACAAGTGATGTTGAGCTTGCTCTGTCTCTTCTCTGTATGCATAAAGTGTGGTTCCAGCCACTGCCTGTGAATATAAGTCTTGGTTTTTGTTGGCAACCCTGGACCTTGGCTGGTGAAAGCCACAAGCCTGATGAAAGGGATGGACTTGAATTGATTAAGAACAAGGCAGAACGAACAATTAAAACACAAAATGGGTTGAATTATAAAAAATTATGATATATTTCTTGGGCAACTTGATTCATGAAATGTATATACTGCCTAGCACATAGTAGAAGATCAATTTATTATGGCTCCTTCTCCTCCTATAAATATTTTATGTGGCTGCCAAAAAGTCAACATTAACTTTCATCTACAGAAGAGTAATACCCATTTTAGGAGAGGTGAGAATCTCACTGCTATCAGAGACGAGGTGTGGAGTCCACTTTGAGTACCTTGTAAGAAGGGCCGGTGGACTCATGTGTAGATGGGAAAGGGTGCACCACACATGTAGTGAGGAGCGAGACGTTGAGTTGTTACAATAACTGGGGCTGTGAGGCTGAATTATTATAGGGTCGCTATGAGTCAGAACCGACTCAATGGCAACGGGTTTCGGGTGAGACTGAATAAGAGAAGGCTTGGGAGAGAGATGATAGCTGTCTTCAGATATTTGAAAGGCTTATTGTGGAAGATAGAATGTCTTTGTTCTGCACGGAAGTTGATGGCATGAATGTTTGATTCAATCAACAGAAAGAGGAAGTTTCTCATAGCTAAGTGCCTATCAATGTTAAGGATTCAAACAGATGTTCAATATTCATTTCCTCTGGAATGTTGCTGGAGGATTCCTGTATGCAGAGGAATGTGGTCCTGGCACTTTCAGTTTGGGGATGATATGATATATGGAGCAGGCAGAAGATAACCAACATTACCAAATTCCAGAAAATGTGCTGTGTGCTCTGTATGTATTATCTGATTGTATCTGCTTAATGACCCTATGAGTTAAACATTGTAAGTATTATTATTCCCATTTTACAAATCAAGTTTACATAGTTTAAGTAAAGAGTTCACAGTGCCAGTAAACTTTAGGGCGAAGTTTTGAACATAGGTCTACTGCATTAAAAGATCTTGTACTTTGCACAACACAGCATGATCTTTCAAAGAAAAAGAACAAATATTTTGTTTGAGGACAGAAGTGTTAAAATACACAGACTGAACCAACATACTGACCAATGATAGGCACTGATCCATTGAAATATTTTTACCTATGATTTATGTAATTATATGGAAATATAGATACATAAATTTATGAACTTTTTAATATAATAGAACATGTCTTCTAGATATATGAACATTCATTTCATTTACTTATATTTCTTGGTTTGCCTTTATGTTTCCTAGTTTTGTCTAGCTTTAAAATTCTATGGGTGGAGCAACTGTATGTACAAGCGTGGAAGTAGATCCTCCCCCAGTCAAGCCTTCAAATAAGACTGCAGCCTCAGCCAACACCTTGATCGTAGTCTCGTGAGAGATCTTGAATTAAGATGCGCTGTCATGCTAAGGTCCAGGGTTGCCAACAAAAACCAAGACTTGTACACACAGGCAGTGGATGGAACAACACTTTATTCACACAGAGAAGGGACAGAGCAAGGAAAGCTTCACTTGTGGTGCCAGTCACCCATGGCAGTGGATTGCCTCTGGCAGCCAGCTTGGGGCTGATGTTCCGCATGCAACCAACTCTCTTGTGCCACAGTGAGGGATGTTATTCCCTCTCCGCTAGAAACAGATATAGAAATGTAGTTGGCTGTAGGCCATATAATGCACACATGTGCAGAGCAGAGAGGAAAGTTTACTATGTATCCAGAACAGGGAGGAAGTTTCCCTGATAAGGAGAAAAAACTGGAAGAGAGAGAAAGACTTAGTTCCCAGACACCATTATCATGGCCCAAGGCTTCTGATTAGGCAGTCCAGGTGGGGGTCTGTAGGCTGAGCAATAGACTCCTTTCGCCATTTTCCCAACATGCACCTAGATTCCTGACCCACAAAAACCGTGAAATAACAAACGTTATTGTGTTAAAAATAATTCTATGAGGGGAACTTGAATTTCTTTGAGACAGTCTGGTGTAACAGAGACCCACTTGATTTGGGAGTCTGGAGACCTGGTTCCTAGCTCCTGTAGCTGACTTGTGCAACCCTCACAGCCTCTCTGGGTCTCATTTCCCTATCTGTAATATGAGAGAGTTAGGCAAAGTAGCGTTGTTGTGGTTAGGTGCCATTGAGCCAGTTCCGACTTATAGTGACCCCATGTACAACACAATGAAACACTGCCCAGTCCTGCGACACCCTCATAATCGTTGCTATGTTTGAGCACATTGCTGCTGCCACTGTGTCAATCCATCTCGTTGAGGGTCTTCGTCTTTTTCACTGACCCTCTACTTTACCAAGCATGATGCCCTTCTACAGGGACGGGTCCCTCCTGATAACGTGTCCTTCTAAGGAGTATTCTGGCTGTACTTCTTCCAAGACAGATTTGTTCGTTCTTCTGGCAGTCCATGGTATATTCATTATTCTTCACCAACACCATAATTCAAAGGTATCAATTCTTCTTCAGTCTTCCTTATTTATTGTCCAGCTTTTGCATGCATATGACGTGATTGACAATACTATGGCTCGGGTGAGGCTTGGGTCAATAGTGTTAATTTCCCTTAAATGATTCAATTCCTCTAGTAATCATACGTTTACTCATCAAAACAAGTACTGATAAAAGTCACAAGGAGAACACACCCCTAGATTCTCGGCCCTCTGCATTTGGTGGCTGAGTTCCAGCTTCCTGCCAGTAGCTAGCTGTCTGTGTTAAAATCCTGCTCTACCTCTTTTTTTCCACCCCAACAGTTCTCTATCGCTAGCCAATCAATGTTAAATAATTGTTATGACACCTTTGCGTGTGACCTGTGTGTGCGTACGTGCGTGTGTGGGAGTATTGTGCAGTGCAAGCTGGGCTGCTCTGGCTTCAGATGTCTATATAGCTCTGGCATAGGAAGATTTGCCTCTAGCATTTTGTGGATTAACTCTAGCAGTATGCAATGGGAGGGTACCCTCTTTCTAAGTGTGTCCTTTTTCTCTCTTCTCATATTGATTGAAGCTTGTCCAGATCCCTTTGCCAGGTATCTACTTCCATAGGAGTGCTGGAGACCAGAAAGGAGCCCTGGTGGTGCAGCAGTTAAGCACTAGGCTGCTAACCAAAAGGTCGGTGGTTCAAACCCACCCGGGAGAAAGACGTGGCAGTCTACTTTTGTAAATATTGTTCTGTGCCATTGAGTCGATTCCAACTCTTAGCGGCACTATATTTACGGAAGCATACTGACACATCTTTCTCAAGCCGAGTGGCTAGTGGGTTTGAACTGCTGACCTTTTGGCTAGCAGCTGAGAGCTTAACCAGCGGGACACCAGGGCTCCTTCTGTAAAGATTACAGTCTTGGAAACCTATGGGGGTAGTTCCACTCTGTCCTATAGGGTCCCTATGAATTGGAATTGACTCCACTGCAATGGGTTTGGTGTTTTGGGGTTTGAAGACCCGGCAGTGGGCCTTCCCCAATAGGTAGGTAGATTTGCACTTGCAAATCAATCCCACTGAATAAAATGTTATGTGAGTATCTTTCCAGCCCTTTATTAATATACTTTAATTTGTTATGGAGCAGATTTTAAAAGAGTTAATTATCTAGGCCTACCCTTCTAAGTCCCAGCAGAAAAAACAGAGCAGGTTTACGCAGTAGGGTCTAGCCAAAATTGTGGATGAGGCAGTTTGTCACCAGTCCTGCCAAATTCTGGTTTTATGTAATCCTACTGCACTCTCTCCCAGACCCCTGAGGCTGCTTCTACCTTATAGCTCATCCCCTAATCCTTCTTTCCAGAGGGGATTTGAATAATTCAAACCCCAATGGTAAAACTTTAAAGTGTTAACACTCCCTGGAGAATTTAGATGCATTTAAACAGAAGACAACACTCTAAACCAGAAAAGCTCTTCTCTCTTTGTGGAAGCTGAAGCATCAGCACTCAGCGGGAGAAGGTGGTGGGTGTACCGTTGGGGGTGGGGGGTGGGCAGAGGTATACTGCAACTGCTGCCTGCCTGGCCTACTCTTAAGACTAATCTTCATCCTTGGTTTAAGGAGGAGGCCCTGGGGTGACCCCCCCTTACCCTCTTCAGAGATCAAGAGTTGGGGTGATGGCATGGGGTGCCTAAGTGCACTCCCAAGACAGGCTCTTCCTTCACTATGAGTACTGTGGGGAGGGGAAGGAAGAACAAAAGAACCAAAGGAAGGAAGGAAAACAGCAAATTAGAGAGAGGCCGGGTAAGGAAAAAAGAGAAATGAAAGAAAGAAAGGGGAAGTGAAGAGCAGAGAAGGAAAGAAAGGAAAAGGGAAGACATGACAAGAAAGAGGAGGAGAAGAAAAGAGCAAGGCATTGACCCTGAAACTTGGCGGAGGGGCCAGAGCAGGAATTCCACTGGGCTGGGAGCTCAGCTCCGCAAGCGGCGGAATCCCCGCGGGCAGGGAGGAGATGCCCACAGCACCCGACTGCACTCCGAGCTTATCAATTCTTTCCCGAAGTGTCCCCAGGGTTCAAGGTTCCCGGCTTTCGGGTGTCCTCCGGGTCTGCCCTGAGCCCTCTCCTGCCCGGGAGCTCAGCTCGGGTGTGCGCCAATCTCCCACCCCCACCGGCCCACGCAACTTTCTTGTCGCCGCCGGGACCAGCGAGGGCCTCCCTCGCCACGCAGGGACGGCGGTCTCTCTGCGCTCGCGGTGACGGTCCTGGGTGGGGCACTGTGCCTCCGGGATGACCTCTGCCGCGGCGTGCGGAGCCCAGCAGACGCCCTCGCCTCCCCGCAACCGCACCTGAGCCCGAGCCCCGGGCCCGGCCCCAAGGCCGGAAGCGCGGGCGGCTTGACTGGCCCCAGAGAGCAGCCTGAGCCTGCGGCAAGGACGAGCAGAAGAAAACGGGTGGCCGAGCCCGCCTCTCGCCAGATGGGGGCGAGGACCTGCCGACACTGACCCCTCCACCCACTCATCCTCGTCTCCCACCCGGCTCGGCCCAGAGCACCCCCAGCACCAGCTCAAAGGCACACCAACTTTATCCACATTTTCGCTCTAACTTTTCTTAAAGTTCCTTGTAAGGAGGAACCTGCCCGCCCCCTGGCCGCGGCGAGCTGGAGAAGCCCGGGAGAGGTGCCGCACTTGAATGCTGCAGCGCCTTGGTCCACCTTGCGCCGGGCTGTGTGCGGATGGGAGCAACTTCGGGGAAAGCCTGATGAACTCCGCAGAAAGAACATAAAGGAAGGTCCAGCCTCCGTGCCCGTACTAACCGCCGGGTTCCTCTTTGTGGAACTAGAAGCCGAGGTGGTGCCAGGTTGTGGAGAATGATCCTGCGGCCTCGGGGGACCTCAGCGCAGTAATGTCAACATGTAAGTTTCACCTTTCATCTCAGAATTCTTTCACACTTTTATCTGTATGTTTTGTTTTGTTTTTTTCTTTTCTTTCAACTGAATGATTTTGTAAGGACTTCAACTGCATTGACAAAAGAAACCGGTTTGTCTTCAGTTTGGCCCCTTGAGGCAATGAGGAGTGAGATGGTGTTGCCAAACAGAGCTGTGACTTGTGTGTGCAGCTTTTTTTCCTGCGAGAGGTAAACCTCACATTTGGAAGGAGTAAAGCATAATAAAAAGGGCAAGCCTTCAAGAATGGGGGAAACGTTTTCGATTCAAATTAAGCAAGGAATAACACGCAGTGCTCCTAGGTCTAGGGGCCTGCCAGTGCCAAGAAAGCGCTCTCCTGGATCAACACTTGGGGGCTTGGAAGATACTGGTATGTGGAGAAAACGTTGACTTTACACATTGTCAACCTTGACTGTAGAAGTTATTCTTGGAACATTGGTTTATTTGAATGGCTAAAAAAGAAAAAAGCGCGGCAAAAAGGTTCTCCATGTACTTTATAGATTTGTGAGGGGACTTGTTAGAAGGTACCTCATTAGAAAGGGTAGGGGGTATAGGGCGATGGAATGGTAACCTAAAAGGTTTTGCTTCTATGAATTATGTCGGTGATGAAGGGCCTTAGAGCGACCCGGGAAAGGGCCTCCAAGCACCGCTTGGCTGTCAGAATGGAAAAAAGAAGGTTGTTCTCAAAAGCGCCAAGCTTATTTTTGTGGCCAACTAAGAAGTTCCTTTTTCTTGTAATATGTAATTTTCTCTCTAATATTTTATTTCTTCTTGGGCAGAGACCCTGACAGACATTTTACCCCCTTCCACTAAGGCACAGAAATTTCCAGAAATTGGTATTTTACGCTCCCTCCCTCTCCCAACTCCTGGAGGAGGAATTTCCACTTAAATTCCCTATTTTGATATAATAACTGGGAAAAGACGTGCCCCTTAAGTCCCATTTTCCCCTTCCATGCACTGCCTGCCCCTTCCCCTCCCCTCCAGTACACATTTTTAAAAGCGAAAAAGAAGTAGTGTCCACAAGCCTATCGTTTGCTACTCTGTTCCTGGTAGTGTGCACTATAATTACAAATGAATCACTTATTTTATTAAAACTGCATGTGGAGTAATTCCACACCTGTGAATTTTAAAAAGTTTCGTTTATGCCAATGGAATCAGCAAGGTATAACTTGAAAGAATTTGTCTTGGGAAACAGCCAACAGTCTCATGTAAGACTTGTTCTCATATACAAGCAACACATTTTGAATGAATACAAGTTTGTCTTAAACTTCACATTTCCCTGAAAATATAGTAGGGTTTTTACAGCGGATATTTGTCCTGCTTCCTTTCAACTTTTGTAGTATTTAGATCTTATGGGAGAAGAAAGGATATTAAATTAAAAAAAAAAAAAACTGTTTTTAAAGTTAAAAGATGTGAAACTGATCAACAGGTACTATAAAAATTTCCTATAGTGAAATTAAATTATATGAAAACAACTAAAAATACTAGTGCATTTGAATTCCACACGATTAAAAAATGATACGTTATTGTAGAGTAAAAGCGTGGATATTCAATCATATAAGTATTTGTTTAGTATCTTGATTTGAGTTTCCTTACTGAGTTATTTTGATTGAAAGTTTCTCCATTTCTTACTAGATTTTAACTATATTTTTTCCCTTTTTCTGTTTAAAATTCATAGGGCATGGTTTAAGATGGTCTTAATTCTTTTTAGATATTGATAAGGTAGAACGTATGGTAATAATATCAACTTTTCCAAGGTAACTATTCCTGTTTTCTTATTGAAAAATGTTAATTTGGGGAAAGATCTTTTAAATCTTAATTTTAATAGATTCAAGTATAGAAACTATTTATAAATATATTTCTACCTGCCCCTTGTGGAGAAAGAGTATGTATGTGTGTGTATATATATATATATATATATATATGGTTACACTCATTTTCTGAAATTATAGACTTTATAAATGTTTTGAAGTTGTAGTGACTGCATATTTTTCATACACTAAGAAATTTAATAGATTTACAAGACTTGCATTAATTGGTCTCAAGCTGCATGAAGCTACTGTTCCATTTATGGCTTATATAAATTACTTGACATTGTGCTCTTCCAGTGTGAATGGTGAATGCAGCTATTGTCTCTTGGCTTATGGGAAGTATTACAAGCCTGTAGTTTTACTGCCTTACTGAACACGTCACCACGGTTTCTGGAAGTAATGATTTGAAAGAGAATCAGTTTATATATTAAAAATAAACTGGCAAGTACTTCCTTAAACCTGACCATTTTTCTGACTGCCCAAAGTATCTTATAAAGAGTTTACATCTCTGATGGGATGATTAAGAATTTCTAGAGATTATTTCGGATTTAGACTAAATAGAAAAATACTTTGTTCAATGTGTGTGGTGTGCATGGGCAAAAGCTTTGTCTTTCCATTTTTATTTCTCATTGGGTGGCATTTATTACAAAAGATATATACTGTGTGACTGGCTCAATTAAATTTAAAGACTTTATCCATCTTAACTAAAAATGCCAGTAAAACTTGAATGTGTCTACCTGAGTATCATCTTACTTTACTTTATACACATTATTTAGGATGGAATTATTTGTAATGCCTTAAAAAAAAAATAAAAACTTCAAGGTTAATATATTTAAAACATTTGTAGCAAATATGACAAAGACTTAACATACTAACATTGAATTAGTTTAAAAAAATCACAAATCAATAAGAGAACTATTTATACTGTAATAGAAAACTATACAAATGACTTGAACATACCAATCCAAATCAAGGAAATTCAAATGAGGCATATTTCTTTTATCAAACTGACAATGATTAAAGCAATAATACTCAATACTGATGAGTGTGTCATGAGATAAACACTGATAACTTCAGTGTAAATGTGTGTGTATTTAACTTTTTTTGATAAATGCTGTCAACTTACAGATAAGTTACAAGACTAAAAAAAAGAGTACAAAGAACACTTTCATGCCCTTTACCCAGATTCACCTATTGTAAGTATTTTCGCCATTTGTTTTCATTCCCTTCCTCCGTCGGTGTGTCTGTGTCTCTGTCTTTGTCTCTCTCTCTCTCTCTCTCGATATATGTTGTTGTTGTTAGGTGCGGTCGAGTCGATTCTGACTCACAGCAACCCCATGTATGACACAATGAACTGCTGTCCAGTGCTGTGCCATCCTCACAACAGTGGGTATGTTTGAGCCCATTGTTGCAGCCACTGTGTCAGTCTGTCTTGTTGAGGGTCTTTCTCTTTTGCACTGACCCTCTACTTTACCAAGCATGATGTCCTTCTCCAGGGATTGGTCCCTCCTGATAACGTGTCCAAAGTAAATGAGACCAAGTCTCGCCATTATCGATTTTTAGGAGCGTTCTGGCTGTACTTCCAAGACAGATTTCTTTATTCTTCTGGAAGTCCATGTTATGTTCAATATTCTTTGCCAACATCATATTTCAAATGCATATATATGCATGTATTTAATATATATAGTGTATATATGTAATACACATATATATATTTTTTCTTATACCATCTAAGAGAAAGTTACATAAGTTACCTACATTAAGTCTTCAGGGTTGACTTTTTTAATGGAAATTTTTATTGAGATATTTGTAGATTCACATGTAATTGCAAGAAATAATATGGAGAGATCATGTGTACCCTTTACCGTTTTCCCCGAATGGTAACATTTGGCAAAACTATAGTACAATAAAGGAGCCCTGGTGGCGAAGTGGTTAAGTGCTAGACTGCTAACCGAAAAGTCTGTGGTTCAAACCCACAAGCTGCTCTGCTGGAGAAAGATGTGTCAGTCTGCTTCCATAAAGATTACAGCCTTGGAAGCCCAGTTATACTCTGCCCTACAGATGGTCACTACAGGGGTGCCATGAGTCAAGATCAACTCAGTGGCAATGGGACAGTACAATAAAGGAGCTCTGGCCTGGTGGTGGAGTGGTTAAGAGCTTGTCTGCAAACCAAAGGGTTGGCTGTTAGAACCCACCCAGCCGCTTGTGAAAGAAAGACCTGGCAATCTGCTTCTGTACAGATTACCCTGTAGGGCAGTTCTGCTCTGTCACATGGGATTGTTGTTAGTCTGAAATCTAGTCTATGGCACCTAACAACAACAACCACAACAAAGTGGTGGGGTATCACAGCCAGGATATTGATTCAGTCCACCTCGTTATTCAGAATTCCCCAGTTATACAGGTACTCATTTGTGTGTGTTTGTGTGTGTGTGTGTGTGTATGTATATTTCTCGAGGTTGACTTTTAGTTATTTACCTGTGGTACAACCCAGGTATGCATATTACTGCTCTGTAAAGTTAAAATATGTGCAGATTTGAAGAATAACATCTTTCAGCCTTTTTTTTTTTAATTTTTTATTGTACTTCAGGTGAAGGTTTACAGAACAAATAGTTTCTCATTAAACAGTAGTGCACATATTGTTTTATGACATTGATTAACAACTCCACAACATGTCAACCCCCTCCCTTCTCGACCTTTTTT